AAGACTGCTTAAAGTCTTGCATTCCACAGCCCTTTATGGGCTAAGGCACGTGCTCCCCTTTTTTTGTTTTGTTTTCCCTTTTTTTTCTTTGTTTTCTTTTTTTTGTTAACTTAACTAATAATTAATGATACCCACCTTTAATATACAATATTAAAACTATTAATATTTTCCTAATTGTATATCCAATTATATATATATGCAAGATAAAAATAATAAAATAGTAATAATTTAGTTCTATAGTTAGCGTGTCTCGGAGCTTTTATAAATTTGAGGAGTGTTACAATTTCTTTATATTTTGCCCCCTCCCCCCGATTAAAATTTTGCTTCGCCACTGGTAAGATTTGTATGTTAAGCAGAATAGAGGAAGTCTTTATATTCTTATACAAGTTTTGTTGTAATTTGTTGGTTCGTTGATGGAACGACTGAGTGGGTGGTGAGTCAAGTTTATTTCTGAATTAACATTAGTTGTTTTTAGTAATTATATTTTTTTATGTGCTTGACATAATGTACAGATTCATTAGTTACAATTAACTATCTTTTTTTTTGTTTGTTAATAGGACTTTATTTTTTAAAATGAATTGATAGATTGATCGACTTCAAGTATATTAGTAGAAAAAAGGGTGACCATAATAATTAAAATTGCTTCTTTTCTATATTTTTGGAGTCATATTTTAGACAATAATTATGCGCTATATTTTATTGCACTTATTTCGTTAATTATTTTGTTTGTCATATATTAGGTAAACTTTCTACTGAAGGCTATGCACAGTATTTTAGAATTGCATGCAATAAAAATATTTAGACAATATTTATGACACTAACATTAAAAAAAGGAGTTGTTTCTTTATCTACCGTACACTAGAAAAGCTTTTGAAAGCGAGCTAATGACTTACATAATTCATTTGGTTCAATAAAATTATGAAAACATATGAGGAGAAAGTTGGAGAATAAGAGAAAAGTATCGAAAGAGGAAAAGAAAAAGAAAATATTTTTCATTTAATTACTGTATAGCATAACAAGATTCCTTTTATGCTTTGAACCCACTGAGTCACAAAATAACATCGATCTTTATCATTTTTTCTGGAATTATTTCTTTATTAGTTTATAATCAAATATGTTGATAATATTTATTAATTTTATAAAAAAAATTGTACCCGCTAACCTACACGTGCAATATGCATTCCAAAAGACAAAATCGTAATTTAGATAGATATCAATATCTATCTATATACTATATTAAATCACGAACACTTTTAGAAAAATACCGTTTGTTCTTTCACCTTTTAAAACATATATCACATTAAACAAAATAATAATTTAAGTTATTTTTCTAATATTTAAAACTTTAAAATCTACTAAATTTTGGTTATTAAGTCTTTCCTTATTGAATTGCCCCTAATATTTAGGAGTTTAAATTCAATTGAGATTTTACCTCAAATAGGAAAGGATCCATGTTGTTTTAAACTAATACTATTTCATATTATTCTAGAACTCTAAAAGAAATAATAGACAAGGTCCTTTACAATAAAAATAACTTAATATAATACAAATAGAATATATAAATAGAAATATAATACGCAATTGGTTTCATTTATATATACACAAGAACTTCATTTTTGTAGCTATCTATATAAATATGGTAATTAAGCATAAAAATTATATGCTTTATAATATTACGGCACATATTATATTTGTGAAACATGTCTTTATTTCTTACTATTACTGAATTAAAGTTAATTAATTTATAATTTTACGTTAGTTTATCATTTAATCATAATAAATTAGTATAGTTTAGTTTTTGTATATTGAATGAATTATTTTTTTCAATATATTGACCATGAATGAGGACTTTTATGTGGTCGTTTCTCCCCATATTGAATGGTTATATAGAATCAATGTTCTTCATTTCCAAAATTCATATTTTACTTTTATAACTCAAATATAATTTTAAGCAAAATATTTATATAATTTTTAAATTTTTTTTACTCATTTAGACAAGATACACGCACAACGCGCGTACCATTTAATAGTAATAGGGAAAAACAAGAGACTCTCCCAATTTTCAAAATTATCTTGATATGTTCTTTAATTTGAAAATTAATTTTCATGCTTCACAATTAATAACCTTTTTTTTTTTTTTTTTTTTTTTTTTTTTTTTTTTTTTTTTTTTTTTTTTTTTTTACACAATTAATAACCTTATTCTGGTAACTGATATGGAGATACCTATCATTCTTTCGATAGCTTTGTTACAATCTTTAAAAAAAAGCTTAACGTGCTTACATATTTTCTGGGCATGTGCATTTATACCCGTTTTTTGCGTTACGTTTTAACTTGTGCCCGCTTTGCAAAAAAAATTGCAAGCGTACCCGCTTTTTCGCATAACTTCAGCATACGGGACTGAAGTAGCAAAGACAATCACGCAAAACTTCAACATTCTAATAGACGGGCCTGAAGTTCAACTCTAGAGCTGAAGTTTTTGTTTTGTAACTGTTGAACTTCAGCTCTAGAGCTGGAGTTTTTGTGTTGTAACTAGGAAACTTCAGCTCTAGAGATGAAACTTTTGTATTGTAACTGGGAAACTTCAGCTCTAGAGCTGAAGTCTGAGGCAATCACTACTGTTTTTGGTGTTTCGCGGTTGATCAACTAGAAAGAAAAGAGAACTAAATAACTTCAGCTCTAGAGCTGAAGTTTTTGTTTTGTAACTGTCGAGAGCTGAAGTTATTTAGTCTCTTTTCTTTCTAGTGCTTGTGTGTTCCAGGTCTTTGCTTTCTTCTTCATCTTCTGCTTTTTTGTCTTTCGTTTTGTAATTTTAAACTCCAGTTATTTCTTGCTTACTGAATTATTAATACTCTTGAATTCAAATTTTATTTTAAACAAATTCCCTTCTAAACCTACCTGATAAATATAAAGAACTATCAATATACAAGAGTATTCAGCATAAATTCTTATTATGAGTAGAACAACAACTTCAAAGGTATTATATTACAAAATTTAGATGTACATTTAAAGCAAACATAAATTGTTTCATGTGTGCTGAGCACCAAAAATAAATACGTACTACATAAAAGGTAAAAGTTAGAAGGAGGAGGAGAAAGGGGCTGAAGTTATTTAAAAAGTGGGTACAAGTTAAAAGTTTTTAAAAAATGGGTATAGGTTAAATGAGGCACCCTATTTTTTACCATATTTTCGATATATATATAGTTTACATCCCATACTTAGGTTTATTTTAAAGCATAAAATTATAGTTTAAAGATCAAAAGAGAAGCTCGAATACAAACACTCTCACATAATATGCATGTCCATGTATAGATTTTCTTTCTTTCAACAAATAAACTTCATATTATTCTTTCTTATATAGTTCAATTTTTAAGTTAAAAATCTTTACCATTAATGTTTTTATTTTGACAGTCAACCTTTTCTGGTGTATAAAATATAATGCGTCTAAGAACAGCTCAATTATAGAGTTTTTAAACTACTTTTTAGTCTATTCTCTTAAATCATTTCCAAAGATAATCTGCCTATTATCACATCATACTGTTAATATATCATTGCGATTTAATTTTTAAATGCAACATAAGATAATGTTTTGAACCAAAGTGAAAAGTTTACATAAAACTTGAAAGAGTTGATAGTATAATAGCTTCTTATTTTGATGCTGATTTAAGATTTGATTCCTTAAACTTTTTCTTTTAACAAATTTAAAACTACATAAAACTTGTATCATAAATCAGTTTTTTAAAGACTACAGACAACTAAAAAAAACTGTTAGAAAAACCATTAACGAAAAAAAAATCGTCACTCCTCAAATGATAATTATGTCACAATAAAAAAAATACATAAGACTTCCGCACAGGCTTTCCAAAGCCAAAAGAAAAAGCAGGTAACGAGTAAATGCATTATTGGAAAACTATTAAGTTCTGACACTGCGAAATTTTACAATATACTCATGAAAAATATCCAGCTCAAATTGGCAAGTAAATGAGTATGCTGATACTTAAAGTTAAGATCTGCAAGGTCAGCTAAGTGGCTTTATAACACCAAAAGAAAGAGGCCTTAGGACAACTAAATATGACATACACTTAGACAACATGAATTTGCCAATTTATCTGTTACTATTTCCATTGACCTCTAAACTCACCTCCATGCATTAATCACCTCCTTGATAGTAACTCAACAATGAAAAGGGTGGAATGAAAATGATCCCCTATATGCACATTGGATTGACAAAAACTACCAATAAGTTACCATACTAAGGTCCTACAGGAGCAATGCCTTTGGTTTTGGCTGCGGCAGTGGCCGCAGCTGCAGCGCCGGCTGCTGCAGCAGCGGCCGCAGCAGCAGCTGCTGCAGTTGGACTTGACGGAGGAGCTGGATTGGATGGTGATGTGCTCTCCTCAGTCACTAATTGAGGTTGCTGCTGTTGTGTATGTTGAGAATTGACCTGTGTAAGCAGGGCCTTTATCTGGTTTCCAGTCAGTGTTTCCTGCTCAAGTAATGCATTGGCAAGGGCATGAAGCTCTTTGTTGTGGGTGGTCAGAATCGTTTTTGCATTGTTGTAAGCCCTTTCAAGTAATTCTCTTACTTCCTTCTCAATGAGAAGCCTCGTTTCAGTGCTCATACTCTTCCCATTATCGTCATAGTTGTGGGTGACGAGCCCAACTTCTTTGCTCATGCCCCACTTGGTAACCATGGCCCTGGCGAGATTGGTTGCTTGCTGGAGATCGCTAGATGGACCAGAAGTTACTTCACTTTCTCCGAAAATGAGCTCTTCAGCGACTCGCCCACCCATAGCAACATCAAGCCGAGCAAGCATCTGCTTACGGGACATACTAGTCTCATCCTTCTCAGGCAATTGAGCAACCATACCGAGAGCCATACCACGTGGAACAATGGTTGCCTTGTGAACTGGAAGAGCCCCATCAGTATGAATAGCCACAAGAGCATGGCCACCTTCATGGTAGGCGGTAAGCTTTTTCGTCTCTTTGGATATGAAAGCTGATTTGCGCTCACTTCCCATCATGATCTTGTCCTTAGCATACTCTAGATCAGCCAAGCTTACAGCTTTGGCACCATCCATTGCAGCCTTCACAGCAGCAATATTAACCAAATTGGCAAGGTCAGCACCAGAAAATCCAGGAGTCCCTCTAGCAATGATCATAAGGTCGGCATCATCGGCTTTNTGCAGCCTTCACAGCAGCAATGTTAACCAAATTGGCAAGGTCAGCACCAGAAAATCCAGGAGTCCCTCTAGCAATGATCATAAGGTCCGCATCATCGGCCTTAACAACCTGTCAGATAGGAAACATTTTAGACACGCAGATTAGAAATGATGCTAAATTAAACCCTTTAAAATTGCAGTTGCATGTGCGGTTTAGCTATCCAAAAGAGAGATTGTCAAAATAAACCACTCATGGTGGAATGTGTTCGAGCTGCCAACTCCAGTTTGACATGGTAACAAAGTTATTATTTTACCAGCAAGGGTTGTGGTGGATGGAGGGGATCCCTCCACCCTTAACCAGAGATTTTGGGATCGAGCCCTGGATAAAAAAATATTCATGATAGGGAGCACCCTTCTCCCGTAAATGGGCCTTACACGGGCCAATCCGGATTAGTCGAGGCTCAATGCGGATACCGAATACCGGGTGGGAAACCAAAAAAGAAGTTTTTATTTTATTAAGTCTACAACAAAAAACTGAGGGTCTATCCCAAACAGCCTCTCTGCCCTTCCAGGGTGGGAAACCAAAAAAAGTTTTTATTTTATTAAGTCTACAACAAAAAACTGAGGGTCTAACGGAAACAGCCTCTCTACCCTTCCAGGGTAGGGGTAAGGCTGCGTACATCCTACCCTCCCAGACCCCACATGTGGGGATATACTGGGTGGTTGTTGTTGTTGTTGTTAAGTCTACAACAAAAAGAGATTTAACACCACATAAATAAACAGTAGCCACTCACAATCAATATCCAAGTAAAATGTGAGGTCAAAAATGCCACAAGGCAAGACACCTACAATGGGAGACCATTACGAGTAGGGAAAATTTAAGTGTACCAGGACAAACTAATTTCAGTTGGCATCTTGTTTATAAATAGTTTGATTCACAATATAGGTCAATGAAAAAGAGATTCACCAATAGAAAAAATAAAGAGGAAGAAAGACGACGGTGCACATGCATAATGAATTTCTAATCTAAATTGCTAAAAGAGATATAGACATAAGGAAAATCTATCAGCTATTAAATAAGCATTACAATAGCCTCGGATCACTACCAACAATTCGTGAGAACAATGACCTGGAAACTGCAGGGTCACCAGGAGATGCCCCAGTTTTCAGAAAAAATACCTTTGACATGTGAGATTCCAGAATCTGCTTCCGACCTTCAACATCAGGATTTGGGACAACAATGTTGCGATCAAAACGTCCAGGTCTCACCAGTGCCTTATCCAATGACTCAGGAAAGTTAGTGGCAGCAATCACAATGATTCCATCGTTCTGTTTGAAACCATCCAGCTCAACAAGCAACTGATTCAAAGTCATCCTCATATATTGCTGGTCCTTTGGGTTACGGCTACCTCCAATGGCATCAATTTCATCAATGAATATAATGCACGGTGATCGTTTCTTAGCAGCTGCAAAAAGGTCTCTTACTCTCCGGGCTCCAACACCAACAAACATTTCCTCAAATTCACTGCCACTGCACGAGAAAAAGGGAACCCCAGCTTCTCCTGCTATGGCTCTTGCCAACATGGTCTTACCAGTTCCAGGTGGACCAACAAGTAACACGCCCTTTGGGAGCTTGCCACCAAGACGAGTGAATCGCTTCAACAAAATGTCAAAATAAGCACTTGTAAAAACAACTGCCTCACGGCATAGAAAAAAAAAATCATCAAGATCGAGCAAAAATGACGATGGTAAACAGAAAAAATTAAACAAAGTAAGATTTAATAAGATGTTGCAAAATTAAGTCATAATCAAATTACCAACCAAAGTAGAAAGTCATATATTAGCCAACAGCTCAGAAACTTTGGTATGATGCAAATTGCAACATGAGCAAAAATCAGAATAGTTACTAACTTTCATTCCAGAGAAGTTAAAGAAAGGTGAATTGGAGAGGTTGGAAAGCCTTTCAAAATACTAGTTTATCTCCTCTTTTACTCCATAGGGGCACTGCCGCAGTGACAAGCGAAATTTACCAGCAGAGATGTGATCATGATTGTAGTTAGCTTGAATTAGGTAGGTCCTTATCAGTAAGATTGGTCATGCTTGGTTTTGGTTTTAATTATATTTTCATTTTAAAAAAAAAAAAAAGCTAACAAAACTGCCAAACTAACCAATTAATCTAACTTTCACCCGAGTCCCCATGAAGCTAACCTATGTGGCAGTCCGAACTCGTTCAACTCCCAAGCAGATAGAACAGTAACAAATACTTCTCTCTAATTAACTGAAGCTGCCAACCCACACTCGGCTACAACTATTTTCTTTAAATGGCAGTGGTCTGGGCCACTTTTGCGCGCACCTCAACTAATTAACCAGACTACCCGCTATCTACCACCATCGCAAGTACCAGCTTACTCTATCCACCAAGACTTAGACAGATGGAAAGCATTCATCTGGCGTGTTTTTACTTTGCTAGGATTTGAAACCTAGTCTGTCATGGTCCATTCCAAATGTATTGACCACTAGGCCACACCCTTGGATGCCACGATTAGCAACAACTATTTAAGCAGAATTAGAAGCTTAAGAACCTGTTAGATACTTCGCTTCATGTTCTACCCTCATTGGGTTTGTTCGTCAACTTCCCCAGCCCTAGCAGCAGCAAGGATGTTCTATGAATTGCCTCCATGTTATCATAATATACGGTAGCCAAGCTGGTGACGCTCTCACGTCACTTTACTTTTTCTCTTCCTTGCAGCCAAAGGCAAAGTCTAGTACTAGCAAATCTCCTGGCTAATTTGTAGTCTCGCGCTCCTAACAGTTTCACATAACTGAATTACTGGTAGCCAAATTAGAGTGGAACAGGTTTATCAGATTCAGCCTGTAGAGCATGGTAACTGATTTTCCAAACGTATAATGCACCAAATCTTTGGTTCGGCACAGAATCATTAATCTAAGCAACTAACCGCACAATAGGAGTCCTCCCATATATTTCGATACAAGCCTCAAGGATGTGTATGTAATGATGGCATACTCCCCCGAGTTTTGAACATGTGGGCCAGCTAACTCACCAGGATTTATCGGTCATAAAAATAAAAGAACGCATGATTCGGAACATGGATATTTGGATATTGGAAGGATACCCCAATTCCATCACCAACCAATTGTAACCTTGTTTTGATCAGAATTAGGAGCCATTTCAGATAACCAAAATCTTCAGTATTCAAGCATATGGAAATCCAACTGAAGAATTGAATGATCAGAGGCTACGTATGAACCCAAGAGAAATAGCCCATATAATGGTATTGTGGTTTCTCCTTCTATCCTTGCCTTTCTTGCCTCAATACCTAACATAGTGTGGATATAATTAACAAATAATAAACTTTTCAGATTGTTTTCCTGACACAAAGGGAGGAAGCGCTTGCTGCCAACTTCCCTATTTAAGTTTTTAATTAAGAAAAGGGAATATGTAAAGTCGGTACATATAACTAGCAAAACATAACTGACGTTCTCAGGTTACATGTATCCCTGTCAGATTCTCAGGTCATTTCCATCTTCCTTTGCTCTCTTTCATTGAACTTTTGTTGGGAAGAGGAGCAGATTAACTTAAAACAGATCTAGCTAAAACACAGTCAGAAAAGATAAATATCTATTATTGTTCCTCCATGAATAAAACCTCATATGTAATATCAGAGCACTCTCATGCCATCCAGCATTATCTTTGCTCACTTACATGGTCTTTGACACAAAAGATAAAATTTAGAATTTAATTTTCATTCCGACAGGAGAATATATGCGTTAGTGGTTATTGCAAATACCTCCCATATTAACTCACCTTAGGGTCTCGAAGATAGTGCACAATCTCTTCCAGCTCCCCTTTCGCCTCATCAACACCCTTCACATCAGCAAATCTTGTATTGGTTTCCATAGTCGGCTGCACTTCCTCATTTAGACCAAGTCCTGAGGTAGTAAACATCATTAACAAAAAAAGAACTTCTACTTACAATCAAATTCACCTGAACAAAAACCAGTAAAAATTACAAAGCTTGTATACCTTTGCTGATTCCTCTATCTTCAATGAGCGCACCAACACCTGAAATCAAGAGAAAGGCCAAACCAAGAGCACGGAATGTACGCCACAACTGTTCTTTGAAATGAGCCCCTTCAACAGCCACCATATGTATAGGAGCATTGGCAGTACCAAGCACACCATCCTTCATAGCTTTCCCAACATTTCTAAAAGCTGACAGAGCTCCTAAATTTGCTTCTTCCGCATGAGAGCTAGCAGTACCACCAATCCCTGAAAGACCTCTAGTCAGACACTAATTAGAACCTACAATCAACTTATCAAAAGCCTTAGTATCGAGTATGTAAGAAAACTAATTCAGCCAACTTGACAGCCCAAGCTAATGAGAGACAAACTTTCTTATTAGGTCTCACCTCTCTGCAATGTCCGGAGCAGCTCACTTTCATCTAGTCTATCAACCTTAACCAGCGCCTTAACATACTCCGAGAGTGCTGCTGGATTAGAATGAAGTGAAGGTTGACCTTCAAACAACCTTATGACTGCCTCTGGATCGTTCTTATGATATAGCTCTCTGAGATACGCCGCATCAGTAGCTTCTTCTGTATCACGTACTCGACGGGCTAGGCTGCCCACATAACTTGATCGAAACCTTCCCTTGGTTCTTGCAGCTCCATGTACTGCACAATGAAGGGACACACGGGAGGATTACAACATGCTTTTCCCAGATAAAAGTAAGGTAATTATACTTTCAAAAGAACATCTATTGCATAACTGTACATCTCTTAATAAAACATGAAGCAAAAGGTCAAGCCAAACATTGAGAAAAGGTGAAGCAACCAGAAGAAGCCAGAAGCGTCTTTCGGAATTTAAACATTTTACTTGCAATATTTCAATGTACATTTTACTCTACCAACAAGCTGTCAGAAGGTCTTAATGTCGACTAGTTGTCTGCAATTTGCCAAAAGATGCAGAGGCTTAACATATTAGGCGATAAGCTCTTCATTTGCTCAAACGTTCACAAGACCAGGAAACATACTAACAAATATATTTCACAGAACCCAAGAGATAGCAAGTTTCATACTAGAAAGTCATATTACTCATAAAATGAGTTTAAACTTTCTCTTGTAAGCACAAAAAAGATCTTATGAAGGCAATTTAGGCAGCACAAACACCATGAAACTTAGGTACCAAAGACGTTATCCATTTTCATATCATAACGATTTCGAGTACAAAATAAAAATTCTTCTCAGCAAACACAAAAGAGGAGGCCGACACTATAGAGAGATTTCACCAGAAATCTTACTTTTGAAATATCGTGCAGCACCAATTATTACTTTTTAAATAAGTATGAACTGCAAGAATTCTTTATCTCAAAGCAGTTTAGACAGGTTGATATAAGGTAAATACTATTCCCATCTTAACAAAATCTTATATCCCTTTCATACATACGTTACCCACATCTCCTATCCCACTCTTCTACCTACCAAACATTGTCAACGATATCTTCATTATTACAGTTTCTCACTTCTTGACCTCAATTGCTATCTGCTCTGTTTCATATTCTACTATGGTCTATTTGTGCATTGCAGCTAAATTCTAGATCTGCTATTCTCAACCTCCCTTGAAGACTATTATTTGGAAATTGTACTGTTTGCTTTGGTATTTTTTTAAATGTATATCAATTTTGAATGTAAAAGATAAAACCTCTTTTTGATTAGTTTTGCCTAAATCGTTAGTAAAACCCAATCTAGCATGACGTAGAGGGTGAGAAAAGAGCGGGCAACAGTTACCCGCATTATTTATAGTGTTCCATACATTGTAGGTATGTCCATAGTGCAGTCTAAAAAAATATAGAGGCCCGACTTTTTGATACAACAAACATCTATCTAAAAATATATACATACAACAAGTAATAATTCCATGAACTCAACCATTCCATTTTTTTGTTTAATTTCTCAACCATCAACCACTATAATATCTACAAAAAGAAAGGAAAAAAAAAACAAGAAGAAGAAACACGCCTCCACTTCATGAGTACAAAAATGTTTAGGACATACCTCCACCTCCTATAGCCTTTCCAGAGGTAAGATAGGTTCTATTGAGAAAATAGTTTAGCTGCCTTAGTTGAGATTGCTGCCTTTCAACCTGAATAACAAAAGTACAATTCAATGAATAAAAGAGGAGAGCAAGGAAAAAACCCATCATACCAAAACGAAGATTACGCAAGCCTTTGTACAGAAAACAAGCAGTGTAAGGGAAAAAAACTACACCACACAACTTTTACCATTTAAGCAGCTGAGAAAAGATCTCTTTTTTTTTCTTTAACTAACACTGATACTGAACCAACATAGTAAGTGTGTAACATGGATATCTGTAAAGCTATCACATGGAGCAAGATAAGCTAATTTTACACATAAAGATCCAATCTTTCAGTTTCATAACCCAATATAACAACGAGCAAATAAAGCTACACAAGCTTTAGCCTAAAAAAAAACATCATTAATACCCTATAACTGTAATCAGGGAAAGAAAAAGAGCAAACCCAATTTAAGAAGAGCTAATTACTCCCAAAAATCCAATTTTTGCCTACAAGTACCAAGATTAGGGTTTTTATGACCCAAGTCCCAACACACCAATAAATCTCCAATCATCAATAAACCCAATAAAAATTAAATAAAACTAATCAAAGATTAAATCTTTGAGATAAAATCTTGAGATAAGAGTGAAAGATGTGACCTGTCTGAGAAGGCGCATTAAAGCCATCTCTAAGAGCAATAAAGATTTGATCTTTTCTTGAACCCCTTTTCACCTTTCTCTCAAAACCTTCCTCCTCTTCTTTTTTATCTAGTTTCTTGGTGCTTCTACTGAAATTGTTGTGAAATGTTTTGGTGATCGAAAATGGAGAGAGACAGGGGAAAGGGGAAGTTGATTTTTTTTTTCTTCCCAGAGAAATACTTTAAATATTTATTGCTACTGGTAAATAAAAATAAATAAGTAATTGAACAATTTTTGGGATGGAAAAGAAAAGAAACAATTTTTTTGGAAATATCTCAGAAAGGGTAGAGGAAAAGATTGAATTTGGAGGGGGTAATGGTGCTACCTTTGTGCACCGTGCGTCAAAGAGCACCTCTAGAATTTATTGTATCCGGGAAGAGGTCAAGTCATGAAAGGTCTCCGGGAATAAAAGGAATTTTTATATTCCTATTCCATATAGAAACTATATTACCCTCAATGTTTAAGGTTTGATTTAATTATATTTAGTATACCTAATTATCAATTTTATACCATAATGTGTTTTAAGTGTACAATTAATGTACCGTATATCACTTCTTAATTAACGCTACCGTATATTCCTCAAAATCCCCACCCCCACGTTTCTCTTTCCCAAACTCACACCCTCACCCACGTATCTCCACACACCCACGTTTCAAACTCATTATTCTCTCTACTAAAACCAGAGAAACATATGTAACACCCTCCATTAACGTCCAATTTCAAGTTTTTTCTTCTAAAACCAGTCAAATTTGAAGTCAAATCTTCAAAGTTCATACACACATTTACCTTCAGCTTCAAATTTTCTCAATGAAGAAGAACAAACCTTCAAAGAGACAAGAGAGCAGCAATTCCACCATTGACAACCACTAAAAAACTTTGAATTCAAATTTGGGTTTTCAAAAATCATTATTTGTTTTGATTGGGTGTTGTTGTAAATAATTGGGAATATTTTTTGGAGTTTATATCTTAATTTTGAGGGGTTTTGGTGAAGATTTAGACTTGGTTTTGGTTTAATTTCAGATTGAAACTCGTCGAAGAAGAAGAAGAAGCAGAAGAAGAAGAAGAAGAAGAAGAAGAAGAAGAAGAAGAAGAAGAAGAAGAAGAAGAAGAAGAAGAAGAAGAAGAAGATATGACATACATTATATTGCAGTAATTGTAGATAAATTGTAGACTGTTTTTTGCAGAAGATTTGTAGAAGTTTTAGTCGTTTTTTATTTGTGTAAACAGAAAACAAAGCATCTACAATCAGAATACAAATAATCTACAATTTATCTACAAAATATCTACAAACTGGGTACATTGAATTTTAATATCCCAATTCCCATTCCAATTGTAGCATAATTGGGATTTTCGACATAATTGCGTTTTTTGCAGAAGATTTGTAGAAGTTTTAGTCGTTTTTTATTTGTGAAAACAGAAAATAAAGCATCTACAATCAGAATACAAATAATCTACAATTTATCTACAAAATATCTACAAACTGGGTACATATTTGGAATCGACATGCTTCCCCTGAAATATATGTTTCACATTTTTTATATATATTTTTGTCCAAAACAGTACTAAATCATCCACTTTAATACAATTTTTATACAATGTTGTTCAACTTTCATACAATAGGAAAATGAATAAAAGATAAATAAATAAACAACAGTCTACAATTTATCTACAATTTATCTATAATTTTTCCAATATGTTTTCTTCTTCTTCTTCTTCTTCTTCTTCTTCTTCTTCTTTCAATCTGAAATTCAGTTAAAACCAAGTCTAATCTTCACCAAAACCCCTCAAAATTGAGATATAAACTCCAAACCATATTCCCGATTATTTCAACAACACCCAATCCAAACAAATAATGATTTTTGAAAACCCAAATTTGAATTCAAAGCTTTCAAGCTTTTTAATGGCTGTCAATGGTGGAATTGCTGCTCTCTTTTCATTTGCTTTGTATTATAGAAATTTGCGATTGAGAAATAGAGAGAGATGTAGAGAGAATTTCTGGAAACAAAGTGTATCGCAAAAACAGATTATGGAAAATCTTGTTCTGTGTTGTGGAAGATCAGAGTGAAGCCGACGATAATTATGGAATGTGCGTGATTTGCGTTGGGGAAGATCTGGAAAATATTTAATTCCCCTTTTTTAGCGCGCAAAATAAGGAATCATAAAGCTACAGTGATTCCTTATTTAATGCATTGTATATATTAGGTAGAAATACTATTAGCATGAAAGGTAATAAGAAAACTATGAACATACTTGGTAATATAGTTTCATATATGGTATATATACGAAAAAGCCTAAAAATAAAATTATAAAAAAAGAAAATATCGAAAGGTCTATATTACTCATACTATCATTTGTTTCTCTTAAACATTTTAAAAAGGCTAAATGGCCTCGTGGCCGGCTACTTAAACTTGCATCCATTTATAAAGTCGATAGACGAACTTGCAACTTTCCTATTTGAACACTACTACTTGATAAATTGAATATTATAAATACCTCTATTAAAGTGTGATCATTAATTGCGCCGACAAAGATGACGCATCACATGTTAAGCTTTTTATTGTTTGACACATATAATTAGTGTGTCCCATTTTATAAGAATTAATTTATCAAACTTTGAAATTCTTTATCCTTCTCCTCTTCTCCCATATCACAGTGGGAATACAACTGGAAAAACTTCAAAATTATTCGTCGACAAAATTTCTCTATATATTGTCATTTAAATGCCTCTCTTGAAAATTCTCCTTCATTCCTTCTCCCCAATAATCATCTCCTCATTTAGACCACCATACAAAGATTCATAGAAAAGTACAGGCGCTTCACTTTTTTGATCGGCAATAAACTAGATCGGAGAACATGAACGGTATATCAACGTAATCATCTTCATCTTCAACCAGTTTGGCCACTTAAACTTGTATCTGTTTACAAAGCCGATAGACGAACTTGTTAAAATACTCTGATACCAGCGGAGAACATGAACGGCATACCAGCACTGGAGTACTGTGTTATTGCATTTAAAGTTGAAGATGATTACGTTTCAGTTAAAGAGGACTGAACTACAAGTGTACCATATCAGTAAATCTTAAGGAGGGTGTTTTATATCTTATACATGAGACTATTTTAAATGGCAATACGGTTACTAGTTAAATGAAGAATATTATATATATGAAAATACGTGTTGTTTAATTCATCATATATTTAGATTTTTAATTCAGTTGATCAAATATCCAATAAAAATTATTTCTATTTTACTAATCCCTACATATTAATCCTTATAAAATTACAATCCTTGGATAACTTTATATGTTTTTCTAAAATGAAATTGCGCCGTTTGGTGGCGTGGTCCTTTCATTCCTGTTATAATAAAAATTACATAATTAGAAAGAGGATAAAACATCTACAATTCTAATTTTCAGGATTTTGGATTACCCAATCTCAGTCCCTTACAAAAAATAGGTCCTTACACATACAAAAAAAATAAAACCTTTATAGCTTACAAAAAGGGCAACTTAACTTTATAAATAAAAGTTCTTATGTCGGATCCTTAACCAGCCATGTCCAATCTATAAGGTCCTTTAGCACCATGCGGCAAATCAGAAGAAGAAGTGAATACCGCATCTGTCTTATCAATGCTCCATTTAGCCAACGTGTTGGCAACTTGATTAGCCCCCCCTAAAGCAATGTTGAATTCTGCAATTAATATTAATCTGGTTGACAAGGCTTTTGGCTTCTCTAATGACATGACACCGTGCATTTGCCATGGCACTTTGTTAACTCCTTTCAACATCTTCACGACTAGCAAAGAATCACATTCGAGAATTAACTGGGAATAGCCACTCAGCACATACCAATGCAGTCCAAAAAGCACAGCTCTTGCCTCTGCCATATTGCTACTAGTCATCCCCAATGAAGAAACAAAAGCCACGATCATATTACCACTATGGTCCCTGCAAATTCTTCCTGAGCTAGAATATCCTTTCACATTTTTACTCTCATCGGTATTTATTTTTATCCATGAATCAGGGGATTTTCCCATTTAACTAAAAGGCGCTCAATTTTGGAGTGAGCCTGGTAATAAATTCTTTTCACATATGCTCTTGCATCTCTATATCTTATTGCGCACCTTGCCTTCCAAATTTTCCAACATATAACCATAGGAGTGACTTATAGAAGAGTCTGATCGACCATATTTTTTGGTTTGGTACTCCACCACCTAAGCATCATAGTTCAAGTTGGTATATCATCCCATCTAACACCTAAAGAGCTACCAAATATTTTCCATGTCATAGCAGCTATATTACCCCCCATGAAAATATGATTTAATGTTTCCCCTTGTGAGCTTCTACAACAAAAATATTTAGACACATACATATGTCCAAACTTTACAAGAATATCATTAAAAGGCAATTTTTCATAAAGTATCCTCCACATAAGAAAAGAAGTTTTAAATGGGAGGTATTTATTCCATATCCTCTTAATAAAATCTGACTTCTCTCTCTACTCTGCCTAGCCAAATTTCAATCAGAAGATGTAGTAAATGTTTCACTATCATTAGGGATCCAAATGGGCAAATCTGGACAGCTTTGGTCTCCAATGGATAAGGAAAGACTGAACTTGTTCAACTTGGAACCCAGGACAGTACATGTGGTCAATCTCCCATTTGCGATTAGTATATCTTTCTCAGTCATAATTTTCTTCATCTGATTCCTCTATATCTTCGTTTATTTTCTTTTCATTTTCAGAGAACTCGTTTTCTGATATTTCATATATGCTGTCTTCACTGCTTAATTCATAATCTACATATTCTATTTGTGTATATTTATCATTATCTATCAGTATTTCGGTAATTTGTTTCTTCTTTGGGTTTTTTGGTAATTTACAATCTTTGGCTAAGTGTCCTAGCTTTCCACAATTATAGCAAGTACATTCTGTTAGTTTTTTCTTTTTCCTATATGGTTTTTTATGTTTATAATTTTTTACATAATATCTTCTTCTTGGTTTCCTATATTTATATTTTGAATATTTTGATTTAAATTTCTTTTTCTTTCCTTCTTTTTTGTAATATTTATCTGTGCAGCCAAATTGGGGTGCTATTCTACTTTTGCAACATGCCAAATTTTTTACTAATATTTTTTCCATTTTCATGTTTTCTTTATATTTTTCACATAATTCTATAAACCAGTTTTGTAGAAATTTTATCCTTACTCCTAATGTATCTGCTAGTCCTGCTTCGTTCCAACTTTTTATTATTTTTGAGCTAAAGGGTTCTGGTAATTTTGTAAAATATAATTTTCTTATCTCTTTACTTTCATCTGGACTATATGTTCCTTTATAATAATAGTCTCTAAATGCACAAGTATATTCATCTATATAACACATATTACATATTGCTAATTTTGTCATTAAATTTCTATTTGTAATTTTTTCTTTATTTTGTTCTTCTACTTCTGTTGTCATACTACTAAATTCATTTCTTATTGCTATTTCATATTTATTTAATATATCTGTAACTGTTGTTGTAGTTGTACCGTCAAGTTTCTTATTACTTCTTAATGTGTCTAAGCTTTCGCTTGATAAGTTTTGTAATCATAATTTTACAGTTCCTATTAATGTTCTTTCTATATATCCTGGTGTTTTCGCTATTGCTATTTTATTATCTATTAGTTGTTTTGAGATATATCCTATCCATAATTGTATTGTTTTATTTATATCTGCTACACAATCTAGATCTAAAAAATTATATTGTTCAGTTATCTGTCTTGGTGCCCATTTCTTATTTAACCTTTTATCCCATAATGTTTTGTTTCTATCATATGCATCATAACTTACTCTGTAATAGGTTGGGTTTGATTGTTTTGGATTTTTTACTCCTGATGTGTTTGGTTTATCCTCGTTCATATCTCCTGTATTTATTTCTGGTTTATTTTTATCTTTTATGTTTTTCTATAAGTTCTGTGTATGTTTCACTTGTTTCTGAATAATTTTCTCCTAGTTCTGTGTCTTTATCACTTTGTTCATTTATTTCGTTTATACTTATTTTTGATGGACTCTCCTGTACTTCTTCTAACTGTAATTTGAATCTTTCTATCTCATTTGTTAGTTTTAGTTCTTCTTCTTCTTCTTTACGTTTTTCCTTTTCTTTTAGTTTATTTGCATACATCTGTTTTAGCATCTCTAATTCTTTTTCTAATTCTGTTATTTTAGTGTTTTTTACTTCCTCTATCTGTTGTATTTTTTCTTTAGCTTGCTGTTGTATTTCTTTAATCTCTCGTTTTCTATCTATTTCTTCGTTTTCTTTTGTTATTCTAACCATGGCGGTTAAACTATCCTCTAGTTTTACAGTTTCTTTTTCTAACATTAAGTTTAGGTTATTTCCTTTTTTTTGTATCTTCTTCCTAAGTTGGAAAATATTATTGTTATTTTTAATCCTTCTGGATTCTCATATGTTTTCTCTTCTAATGCGAATTCTTCTTTATTCATCTTTTATCTTTTAGATAACAAACATATTTATATTCTGTTTTAGATATTATATCGATTAATTTAGACAGCATAGCTTTGTTCATTTTTGTGATACTTAAGTATTCATATTCTATGTATAGTTTCTTTAGTTTCTTTCTAATTTTCTGCGATTTCTTAGTTATTTTAATTGTTTCATTGTTTTGCGGGTTTGTACTATTAATGTCAGTGTTATTTTTCATGATTTGGTTCTTAATATAAATGTTTGTTTTCCATAGCTCTGATACCAATTTGGATTTGGGGGGGTCATCTTTATTTTTTTTTTATCTTTAATACTGAGATGTATACCTGTTGATACATATATCCATGGTTTCTATATTTCTCAGGTTTATTTCTTTTCTGTGTTGATAACTTTCAAGATTATTTTCATAGAATTCAATTTCTTTTTCTATAGTTAATAAAGCTTTATTACGTAATCTATTATATTTAATTATGTATTTGCAGGTTTTAATATTGTGTTTAACACAATCTATTTTTCTATTTATGTTACTGAGATTTTTAAGCAGTTTCCATTTCTGGGTGTTATAGAATCTTATGTAATGAAAAGTGTTATGTTTCATTTATAAACAGATTTTATTAACTTGATATGTGATCATTAATCTGAATA